CATCCTTCAGAACTGCCTGCAATCTCTGTAAAAGAGTGCTGAAAAATGCAAAGTACAGCTACATGCGATCTACTCAGGCCAAGGTTGAAAATAAACAAATTGGATCTTGTGAATTCTGGAATATCACCAACCAAATTATGAACAGAGGCAAAGTGTCTGTGCTCACTATTATAAATGGCCCTGAGGTCACATCATCCTTGACAGTCAAGGCAAAGCTCTTTGCCTCGATCTTTGCCTCAAGCTCAACATTAGATGACAAAGGCTATCCTCTCCCCAACTTGCTATGTCTCACTGAACATAATCTCAGTAATATACTCATTTCAACAAGAGAAGTCTCTAGACTTATCAAAAGCCTCAACCCCAAAAAAGCCATTGACCCAGACAAAATTCCAGTGGTTGTCCTTAAGAATATCAACTCAGAATTATCCCAGATTCTAGCAAACCACTGCTTGAAGAAGAAATCTTTCCCAAGTATGTGGAAAATGGCAAGCCTATGCGCAGTCTTCAATATAGGCCTATTAGCCTTCTCAGTATCATCCGTAAGCTTTTTGAGGCCTCGATCAACAAGAAGGTCATCAAGCACCTGGATAGTAACTACCTCTTGTGTGATGAGAAGTATGGGTTTTGATCAAACCGACCCATTGCTGACGTCTTTACTACTACCATGGAAAGTGCTTGGGCAAACTGCATCTCCTGGTTTCATCAGGTCTGACCTTCACTGCTATGACCTGCCATGCCACTTACAAAGTATCAAAGCATCCACATTCCCTCTTTATTCCATAGGTGAGAAGTAAGTTCCATTCAAACAGCTTCTTCCCACAAACCACAGCCCTACAGAACAGACTCCCAAGAGCCTAGAGTCAACTGTTATCTTCCACTCCTATCCATATAAACTACTCCTTATCATAACCCTCTACCTCGAGTGGTTCTTGGTCCATGTAGAGGATGAACCTTACTGTAAAAAAAAACAAAAAAAGAAAGCTAACACAAAAAAGGTATAAAAATAAATATAATAGCAATTATAAATATAATTAGCTCTCATTACTAAACAGGAGAGATCAGACTGTGACTAATAAATGTATAAAATCATATATTTTATATTATCGAATTTCCTATCTGCATTCTTACACCTATTTGATAATATCTATTATATAAATCCTAAGGTTAGGATTGGTTATATAAAGAACCCATAAAATTTAATGGATAGAGTAATATCTCCTTTCTTTTTTTTTACATAGTGACCCAAGACATGGATAGTGTAATGGTTATTAGCATATAAAGAAAATTCTGTATGTCAAGTTAATTACTGATCAATTGTTTCATTCACTTCACATTTGGAAATGATGGGAAACCATGATCCTCTAGCTATAGGTTTTCAAAGGCAAGTCAGACTAGGCTCTCTTGCATTGACCAATCTAAGAGAAGGAAAATGTTGAAATCAAAACCCAACCTGAATAGAGATAGGCTCCATCAGACCAAGATGCAATATTGGCTGCAATACCTGTAGTACTCTTATAACTCTAATCAGTTATGAAACTTGTGACAGCATTGTGAACCATATGTTAGTTTTTGTTGTTATTATGATGAGTCATATATCATGAAAAAACGGAGTTAATTTTATAATAATTTGACTGCTTCTTCAATATTACTAGGGATCTAAACAATATCCAATTTTGCCAACACTTACAAAATTATCACCAATTTCACACTTACTTTATCATTTCACCTAAATCAACACCTGCTGCATTTATTACTATTACTTACATTTCATGGTCCATTAAGAATATAGGTACAGTTGAAAAATAAATGGCTGATTCGATAGCCACTTTCATCCCAAATTAAAAAATTAAGCCTACTTAATATTTTAATACATTTTCCAGAAAGCAGAAAAAAAACAAAACAAAAAAAAAAAACAGCAGAAATTTATTCTTCATTCTTTTACACTAAAAATAAGAAATAAAAAAACAAAAACCGTTTTAAAAAGAATATCCAATCATGGTCACAACAATATACACTGATGTGCCAAAAGTCATGGAACAGCAATATATAAAGGTGATGGTAGGTAGTGCCACTATATCTTGACATAAAAATGTCCAGACCTATATCACTTATGTTCTGGCATCTGGTGAATTAGTGTAAACACAGATTAGGCGACTTATGGCAAAAATGATATAACAGGTGCCAAACAATTGGAATGTTTCTGAAATTGTGAGAATATTTGATATCTCTCAATCTATGGTACCATAAGTGTACCAGAAATGCATGATGCTAGGCATTACCATTCACTATGGACAGATCAATAGTTCTTAATGGCCATGGGTCTTTAATGATCATGACCAGAGACATGTGGTTAGAATTATCTGCAGTAACAGACAGGTGACACTGACTAAAATTACATCAATGCAGGAAGTTACAGATGTATATTCAGCAGGTCAGTTCAGTGATATTTAGCTTCCACTGTGCTTCACCTGGACTCATGACATTACTAATTAAATCATGGATGATTGCAAAATGTGTCGAGTGGTCCAGTATGTGATACTTCCAGTTGTTTTACCCTGATGATAATGTACAGATGAAATTATGTATTCCAATCCTCAACAAAGTAATAATAATAGTAATAATAGCTGGCCACTTGCATTCAAGGATACCTGTCTACTAGGGCGGCTAGCCAATCCTTATTGCAGACGCTTGCTCAGGCACATTTGTGTTTGCTTAACACTTACAGAGCCCACCTGTGATTTATACTGCAACTATGCTGAGCAGACCTTAGTTACAGTTTCTGGGAGAGAGTGTGTTATCTAGCATGATCAACAATTTGAACAAGGCTAGCCTGCTCAAGCCCTCAGCTATGATGACTTGTGACTTCGTGCTAGCACAGCTATCGATGGAACCCAAAAGTTCTGTCTACCCAATTTCACTCACAAGGCTTGGGTCAACCTGTGGTATAGTTTTCAGGCACTTTCCAAAGGTGCCACATACGGGGATCAACTTTGATCCAGTCCAATAACATCAGGAAATCTCCTTCCTGACAAATCAACCATCATGAGATTCGAACCATGTCTCATGGTCAGAAAGCAAATGTTCTAACCACTTGGCTACGCACCCATTGTAAACAAAGTAGAAAAGGTTTAAAGCTCCAAGTTCTAGATTCACAAGTGTCCCACAAGGCAATAACGTAGATGATTATAGCATCAATTAGTAATTGTGAGTTCAATCTCTGGGCTAGGTAATGCAGACTTAGATTCAGTGGAAACAAGGAAAGCAATAACTATACAGTACTAAGTAAGGACAAGATGAGATACCCTTAGATATCAAACAATCTATTCTTGCAAATTAAATTAATAGTTCAGTTCCAAATTATCTGGATCAATAAGCACTTGATGAAACATTGTGATAATAGCAATAAAGCTGAGGACTCTGAGTGTAAATAATAACTCCTCATCCCAGAAATTTAGACAGGAACATAAGAATTGTTTAAAACCATAAAAACCAGTAAATTATCTAGCCATGAGAGAAACATTGTGATAACAAACATGAGGATAATAGTATGAGTGTTAATGATGTAAATAATAACTCATCATTCCAAAAATATAAATAAAAATGTGAGCCTAATCAAACATTTATAGGATGTGATAGAGAGGTCAACTTGCATGTAAGATACTGCAAATTTCAGGGATCAGCTATTATAGTTCAACATTTCTCCAAAGTCTTTCACCCACTTGTGGAATTGAAGCCACAGCAAGTCTTTAACTGATTGTAGGTAGTCTTATATGATACCAAGCACCTATCAGAAGACTTAGTATGTCAGTGTATAAAAGTAAAATAACCATTATTGTATAATGTCCAGAAAATACAATATATAATAAAATCTATGCAGTAGCTATTGCTTTCTCACTAGTTTTATTCCATTTGATTAATGTTAATCTTTATTGCAAGGTCAACATATTGTCTACTATTATTTGATGATTTGTGATTTGACCTGGAGTGTTTTTATCAAAACACTCCAGGTCAAATCACTTTTTGAAATCCAAAATAAAAAAGTAGTTACTGAATAGACTTGAACTCTCAACACACTTTGGCAGTATATCTTATATAAATGTCGTCAGGATTTTGGCCTCTGATGCCTTGATAAAGAAACTTTTTGGGAAACAAAATTTAGGATAAAGCAGCATATATTTACTAATGATATTAACAATATATCTTAAGACACTATTAGAGACTTTGTCCATTAAGATTTCTGTCAGGGTCACTAAGTATAGTGACTCTTACAGTAACTGTTATCAAAGAATCCTCACCGTTTACTGAGTGAATAATCAATTCCACTATCTTTACATACCTACAATTTCCTAGCTTATCATTTGTTTTTACAGATGAATATATACCAAGCTATAAGTGTATTACTTATTACACATTGGTTAAAGTACTTAGCCTGAGATGCTACAAGATATTTCCCATAAGTAGGTTTGGTTTGTTTTGCTTTATGGCATATCAACCTCAATGGGTCATTTAATGCCAACAATTTTTTTTTCTTGGTAATATTTTTGTTTTGTCAAAAATCTATTTCTGTTAATATTTTTTTCCTCAAAAATGTAAAACTGGTAATATTATTTTTTTTTCAAAAATGTATAGCTGGTATTATTTTTTTTTTCAAAAACGTATAACTGGTAATATTATTTTTTCAAAAACGTATAGCAGGCAACATTATTTTTTCAAAAACGTATTATCAGAGGCCTTGCTGTTGGACGTAGTTTATCGTCTTACCTGGGACGCGGATATAGTCTGATTGTTAAATATTTGCCCATAGCTGGGACCCTAACAGGTGCTACCACCCCAGGTCATGGTGGACCTGGGAACACCAACAATTGAGAGGTGGTTCCACACTCCTCAAAACCTGCTGATCAGAGGCCTTGCTGTTGGACGTAGTTTATCGTCTTACCCAGGATGCGGATGCAGTTTATCATCATACCCAGGATGGCCATAAGTAGGAAAAAAATACGTACAGAAGAATTAGCCACAATATTTCTCCAACTCTGCTCTAACTCAAAAATTGTGGCTGGGGGTTGCTGCGTGACTGCATTCTTCAAGACTTCCAACATGGTGTCCAATTTTTCCTTGTCCTGCAAAACAAATACATACATTTTTGAATCTTTGATTCATATAAAAAAATAAAGTATAGAAAACTACAAATGTCATGGAATTGCCTTTAATGATTGGTTAATATCTTCTTTTATGTGTCACTTCATAATGTGGGTAATCACAGCTCTCTACAACTTCCTATAGTGGATTTTGAAACAGGAACAAAAGTTATATTAAGTTTTGTGAACATGTTTTGGGTAGTGGGAATGTGAGTCAGCCCTGTGAGCCATGCATAAAACAGAACCACATTATGTGTTAAATGAACTGAATGATTGGCCTTTGGTTTCTAAATTTCCTGAGGACAACAAAATGCAGATTGTGTGTGTGTGTGTCTGTACGTTTATATATTGAATCGCATTTCCTACATTTTTCAACTAAACTTCACAGGACTACGTAAATTACCTTGCGGTGGTTCTGACAGTGCCACAAATTGGAAAAACACAATTGTTTTTTTGCACGAAATCAATTTGAAAATATGATAAAACACGATTCTGTCGCCAGAATTGAAGGGGGACAACTCATATCGAGTTATACTTATTATAAAACTCAGGTTGTTTGTGTGTGTGTGTGTGCTTGTATTCGTTTATATATGTGATCGGTTTTCCTACATTTTTCAACCGATTTCAACAAAACTTCACTTTTTTTTGGCATGTAGTGTGTCTTATTGTCCTGCACACTTTTTTCTTTATTTTTACATTTAGAATGCTTTAAAAATTCCATTTACAAGACAATTGTTTATAATAAAATTCTATTCAATCGGTAGACTCTGAAAAACAATGTTTTTGTTTGAGTTTGGGTTTGACCAATTCGTAAAAAAAAACAAAAAAAACAAAAAAACTAATTAAGACATGCGTGTCCGTCAACCTTAAACAATAATCTTTGTCAATTTTATTTTTCCGTCTTTATGATGGTCGATACTTGATCTATCTCTTATAGTTACATCCCTGGGCAACGCTGGGCTCTACTGCTAGCATTTGTATATAACTGATGCACATCATTTCATATATTTTTAAAACATCTCCAGATGTTTTATATATATATATATATATATATATATATATATATATATATATGCATGTTTCATTAAAAACGACAGACAAGGTACTACAGTTAAGCTTGAATGTTTTATATTTCCGAGCGCTTGGAAATATAAAACATTCGGACAGTTCTTACACACCCTTTGTCCAGAAAAGAAAGCCCTTGTCAGAACACAAGAAAAATTAAATAAAAAGCTTAACCGTAGTACCGTGTCTGTTGTTTTTAATGAAACATGCATAAAGGAAGGATTGCTGCCTAAATATATATATATATATATATATATATATATATATATATATATATACACACACACACACATATATATGAAAATACCTCATACAATGTTGCTAGTTCTTAATCAAAGATTTTGGCAGAAAATTAAAGAAAATAAATCTCTCATGGTTCCCTTTCCTTCCCAGTCTCTCATGGCTTCCTTTCCTTCTCAGTCTCTCACGGCTCCCTTTCCTTCCCAGTCTCTCACGGCTTCCTTTCCTTCCCAGTCTCTCACGGCTTCCTTTCCTTCCCAGTCTCTCATGGTTCCCTTTCCTTCCCAGTCTCTCATGGCTCCCTTTCCTTCCCAGTCTCTCATGGCTCCCTTTCCTTCACAGTCTCTCATGACTCCCTTTCTTTCCCAGTCTCTCAAGACTCCCTTTCTTTCCCAGTCTCTCATGGCTCCCTTTCCTTCCCAGTCTCTCACAGCTCCCTTTTATCCTGTCTCTCAACTACTCTTTTTTTCCTTCTCACTTACTGCTGTCTGTCATTCTCAATCTCTCTCCACCTTTTCATTCCCAATATATCTGCAGTATTTCTCTTTCTTTATTAATATATCTTCACTCTTTTTTTTTTTTTTCTATGCTAACTCACTTTTTTTTTTATTTATTTTAACTTTATTTTTTTTATTTTTATTTTTTTATCCCATGACCCACAGGATCACCATATGTACTGCAACCATAGTAGAAGTGGTGTTTCTTGAGCAAGATGGCCTGACGGAACCGGACCCTCTCCATGTCAGTTTTCCTTCTCCTAGGCTAGTTGCCAGCCAAGGTTATAAAACCCAGTCTGTCCTGCTATTTATCCATAGCTGGGGAGAAGAAGAGGATTCATACCTTTCCCAAGGGTATTAGCACGTAAGTGAACACAATGGATCTGAGTGGAATTTGAACTTCGTTGTCAGATTCCTCAATCCGAGTCAATATCCATTATTCCACTGTGCCTCCAATTTTAACTTTATGTGAATTTATATTTGATATGCATAAAATAGCCCAATTCTGCCAGTAATTGCAGGAATATAAAATAATGTTAATATACAAGTTGTCAACTTCCATAGTATTTCCACAGGTCCAGATGTGTGTGTGTGTATATATATACATACACATACACACACACACTATGTAGTTTTCGCTATTTTATTGCTTCTAGTAGAATATTTAACTTTCATTCAGGAAAGTGAAGGTGTTTAATTTCCAGACTGAATCTGTCTGTTAAATCAAAGTTCAGACTCTACATGGCTAACCTAATATGTTATGTTGTTGTAAGCCAGACATATCATAATTGACATTATTTATGGAGTCAAAGAATAAAAAAGAACAACAAAGGTTAGGTGGGGCAATGCCAAGTTATTTTGTAGACAGGTGACAAACTAAACAGCATCAGCAACAGAATATGGGTTGAGGGGTAGGGATTTGAGATCAAGGAAATGAGGAGGTGCAGGATGAAGCCAGCAAGATAGCTTTAAGAAAACAAAACAATAAAATGTTATAAAAAAAAAAAAAGAAAAAAAAAATATATGAATATGAAGATGGATCAATAAATTCATAGCTTGACACTTAGTTATTAAATGAATTTTGAACTTAAAATTTAACTTGTATAATTTTTAATCTGTGATTATTACTCACCACTGAATTAAGTGGAAATGAGATTATTGTGTGTGTGTATGTATATATATATATATATATATATATATATAGAGAGAGAGAGAGATGATTAAAAAGACAAAGGAAAACTATTCTTAGCTGATGCATTTCGTCCTCTGAGGGACATTATCAAGACAAATGCAAGAATTTATTTTGTTGCACATGTTTATATGCAAGAGCAAAAATGGCTATAAACACAAGCAACAAAATAAATCCTTATACTTACCCTGATAAAGTCCCTCAGCAGATGAAACTCATTGGCTAAGAATCGTTTTTCCTCTTTTTTTTTATTAATTTTCTTCATTTACAGATACACTATCTGAAAATAATGCGTTATGTGTGTATGTATGTATGTAAGGGCATATTAAGAAGTCTGTAGTGTGACAGTTATTAGCTGAATTTTTATTTGGAACTCAATGTATAATGTATGATCTCTGATTAATATTTACTACTGAATTAAGTGCTTTGACATAGGAAGAAATTATATCGAAAATTTAAATTTTGCTTTATAATATAGTTTTTGTCATTACACTACAAACATTGATGTACTTATGATATGAATGCTTTTAAAAATAATAAACATTTACAAGAGTTATGTAAAATGTAATTTATTCAGTGAAGTGGCACAACCAAGGAGCCATAGCTAGCACGATTTGAAGGCCTCGTTCTCATATTTGGTAACTTGAGATGATTGAAAAAACAAAAAAGACACATTACAGAATCACGGTAATGAGCTGGCTAGATGTTGCAGTAAGTTCTATGCTAACAGTTTCTTGTCTCGTACTTAGTCTAAGTGTCTTAGAGTCTTAGTGGCTTTACTGCCTTGTATAGGGTGATACTTATAAAAGAAAAAAATCAGGCATAAAAAAAAAAAAAAAAATCCTTTCTACAATTGATAATATGCTACTAGTGATAAATTTTTATTAGAAAAACTAAGTATCATTTCCTTTTGAACAAAGAATAAACTAAGTATCATTTCCTTTTGAACAAAGAATAAAAAAACAAAACAAAATTAACCTCAATCTGAAGAAAAAATTCAGTTTAACAATTTTTTTACTCACAATAAAACATAAATAAATAGATGGGAAATAGTCACTTGAAACAGGTGAGAAGGTGTGACTTGGTTCATATGAATATAGGTGACCTAGTAAAAATTTAAGGCTTATCTTAAAAGTCATTTATTTAGTGAGGCAATATTAAATAAATCCATATATAGGCTGTGGTACAGCATTTCTTTTCTTTTTTTGATCCTTGAGAGGTAGTTCAAGTATAGTAATTAAAGATTTAAAAAGAAAAAAAAAAGAAGACTTTTTTTTGTTGAATATCATATATCAAACATCTATATTTAGATTATTTAGACCAGACTATTGTCCTCATTTTTGTTGTAGTTATCACAACATTTCTGCTTTCGTCACGTGCTTGTCAATTCGAGTGAACTTCACGGAATTTTCCAACTGAACCCTTTAATCTATGGGTTAGATTTTTCTTATTCCACTGACCATGTCTAGGGATATCTCACATAGTTCTTATTTAGTACTGCTCCGTTATTACTTGCTCCATTTCCACAGAGTCCAAATATGTCACCAAAATCATGAACCAATACTACTGTCCCGTGGGACAATTCTCAGTGGAGAACATTGAGGCCTGCTGTTTAATACTGTTGTTGTTATGTTTGACTGCACTCACCAAGGCTTTGTCCATTAAGCCATGTGTCAAGGTTTCGTGATGTCAACACTCTTTGCCATTTTTGTAATGTCAACAAATACTCATTGTCACTTTTGTAATGCTCATTGTAGTAGAGACTTTGTAATCGCAGATACAAACTATAGTAATGCCATTGAACAATACTGATGTCAGAGGCCTTCATATAACCTCACACTAATAGTACTTGCTCGATAATACTCGCTCAAACAGTAATCCATATAGTGACCCGAATAGAGAAATGGTATAGTGAACAGAGTAGAGAATAGCGGTCCCTATAGTAATAGAGGATAGAATAGAAAATGCGA